TCTATTAGTTTATTCACATTTAACCAATTTATGATTTTTGCCAAGTCAGAATTTAGCATTTTTAAATGTGTCGATATTTTCATCTGATATGTATATTAATGTATCATCTGCAAATATCTGAATTTTACAATAATCTAAAATATTACAAATGTCATTAGTGTATAAAATGAATAGTAGTGGATCTAGTTTACTACCTTGTGGTACACCAACAGAAATATTTTTTGATCTTGATAATGTGGATCTAATTTTGGTTTTTTGACTTCTGTCAATTAAATAAATTTGTAGAATTTTGAATACAGATCCTTTAAATCCGTAGTGATGCAATTTTGTAAGTAATTTATCGTAATACACAAATATGTCACCAACCTGAGTATCTTTTCTCCCTTAGCATATCCCATCGCCTCAATGCCTCTGATGTCGTTGATGGGTATCACACAGCCTGAACTCTTAAACGCCGCGTTGCCGGAGCCACCCCTACTGACCCCCACCATGTCCGAGATCTGTTGCAGCAACCCCGAGGGGCCGTTGCCTTCACGTAACTGGGTTTCGATTATTCGCTCCAGTTCCTCTCTGGAAATAGAAATTGGTATGTATTAAAGCGAAGTACTATATACAGGCTGATTAAAAAACAATGGAAATATTTCTAGAGCACTATATAGCGGTACATTTAAATAAAATATAAAAAGTTTCTACATACGTAGGCCCTAAAAATTCTGATTACTAATATACATGATGTTATTTGGTCTCAAATAATATATAATGAGTGTTTTCACTTTTTCCATGAACGGAAAGTGGCACAATACACCTTTCGAATGAATTTTGAATATATTTTTGTAAGACGCAGGAACAACAAAAAATTAAACAAAAATGCGTCACTCTTGACAAAGGAATATAGATAAAGCCTATTCCAGCAATATAAATGCTTTTTTTTTGGTAAAAGAGAGGAAAATTCGCCTTTGTGTCAACCATGTGAATTTATTTTTCACATTTGAAATCAGTATTTTGATCTACGTACCGCTTGATACGACGCATTTAAATCGCCCTCATAAGAGGTGCATTCAAACGCGTCAAGTATAGAGGGAATCAAAAACTTTTTAATTTTCGTAAAAATTGTAGAATTGAAAAATTATAGTGACAATCAAGAGAGGGACCACAGCAGGACCTAAAACACATATAAGAATGTATTGAAGCATAATACCAAACCATTTTTTCTTTTAAGAGGGGCATTCAACCGTGTCGTATATATGTAGAAAGTTTCAAAAATGTTTTAGTGTAGTGAAAAATATAGAATTAGTTTAAAACAGTGTTTGCCTCAAGTCCTGTTCGTACAGCTGTCGCCAACCTGTCAGTGATCGTGTCCAATATCCCACCATACAAATTTTGTTCATTCTGCTAAGCTATATAGACGGAATTCACACGGTCGGTCCCAGACACCGTCACCGACAAGTCACTGACCACTGTACAAGCAAACCTTACACCTTTAATACTTAAAGAAGCATTTTTTTATCTTTTCGCGACCTACTTATCTTATCTTACCTACCCTAGACAATATTACGGGGTATCTGATCTGAAAAGTTTCTCATAATGCGAGGTCTGTAAATTAAGTGATGAGACTAGCGTTCGATCTGGCCACACTGGACGTGACAGGGGAGTCAGGGGAACATGTGATCCGCCTTCATAACAAGTTTGAACTCATTCGGGTCATTTGATTGTGCGTAGCGTTTTTTTTTTTTGAGAAACAGATTTTTCTATTGTGTTCTAAAAATGAGCAACGGTGTGCTATCAAGTTTTGCTTCAGACTTGAGCACAGTGCAACGGAAACTCTTGCTAAACTTCAGCAGGCCTACCTAGATAGGGTTTTGTCAAAAGCCCAGGTTTTTCGGTGGTTTACGGCATTTTCGGATGGAAGAGAGTCGACTGAAGACGAATCACGAAGCGGAAGGCCTTCATCTTAAGAACCGTTCATCGTCGGGAAAGAGAATGATCGGATAAGAGTTAAATTTGACTCACACCACCATTCATCAGATCAAGAACAACTGGGTGTTGCATCACGGTAATGCTCCTTGTCACACAGCAATAACCGAAGTTCTGTTCAGTAAAAACATTCCTGTGCCCCTCAGCCTCCTTATTCGCCTGATTTGAGTACTTGTGATTCTTTTCTCTTCCCGAACTTGAAAAATCACCTCAAGGGAAATCATTTTGGGACAAGTGAAAATGTTCAAACTGCTGTAACCGACCAGCTGAAGGCTATTCCAGTATCGGAGTTCCAGCACTGCTATAAGGAGTGGAAGCGCCGTGTGGCTTCAGAAGGAAGTTATTTTGGGGGTTACAATATAAAATTGTAATGATATTTGGATATAATAATTAAAAAAATCAGCCTCATCACTTAATTTATAGACATCGTATGTTCGTGTATAAATGGAACCCCACTAGTCGTTGCTACTCGCTTAGCAGGAAACTCGCGCTGTAATTTACCCCCTCTCCCCACGTCCCTTTTCACAAGTCACGAACATCATATTCCGTTTGAAGGGTAGCCCTCGCTATAATCCTCCGGCTATGTAACGCTCGTGGTAACATGCCGTAAATATAATACCAACCTAAACAGTTTGCTGTTCATGATCAGCTCAACTCTCTTCCGCCTTTCCATTTCTCTGACGTCAGCGTCGATGTCCACAGGTCGCATCTTGGCCCGTTCCTCGTCATCCATCTGGTCCGATGAGAAGCCATTTTGTTGGCCCGCAGAAGCGTCTTGTTGCTGTTGTTGACTCGTATCGTCCGTCATCACTGGCGATCTTCAATACTCTTTCTTTTACGAGATCTGTAACAAAACATTTCTGTTATAATAACAGTAAACCATTCTCTCATAACATTCTCATTCGAGCATTCCAGGTCTACTAATCTTAAAAATCGGATGAATCGGATACCTTTAACTTCTTTATAACAGACGTCGTACCTAGGTATTTAGGCTTCATCTTCAGGACAGCTTCAGTATGATCGAAAGGCGTCAAGCAGACAGACTCTGTACCTTCCACGCAATTCCGTCATCAATAACTGACATTAGACGTGTTACACCCAGAAAAAATAATTTCATCAACTTGTTTTTTGGCAACATAATGACTATATTTGAAGCATGATACGCCAACTATGTCAACGTTTTATCTTTGTTTTTGTTTACCTTTGTTAAAACTAATGTTATCTGTTAGTTTTTGTGAAGAAATCAATTTCTAAGAGCTGAGTAGTACAGGTATTTTTAGTTATTGCCCTTTCATTTACTAGTGTTAAGCATAACAAAATACCTCGAGTTCTAAGAAGTCCAAATTATCACCGTGCTAGCGAGCTTGACAGGGATAGAATTATGGCCTATCGAGATGTTGGTTTGTCCTATTGCGAAATTAGCCGTCGTGTTAATTAATTGTACTGAAATAACAGTAATGCGTGTGAGTCGTGTGCGGATAGAAGAAGGTAGAGGAACACGAAGAAGGCCAACTGGTCCACAGAGGCGTACCACAGAGCGTTAAGATGGGCACTTCAGACAACTAGCCCCACGAGACCGTTTTGCTACTACGCGTCAAATTGCTGACCAATGGTTTGGAGAAGAAAGTAGACCTGTTACTATGCGTACACTCTAATGTTATCGTTTCATTTTTGATGTAAGACTACCGCATTGCCGAAAAATCAAGTTGAAGAAATTATTTTTTCTGGGTGTAACACTTCTAATGTCACTGAGTATACGAGGGATGTCTTTTAAGTTTTGCATATGGTAATAAAACAACCCGGTAGGTAGTTTTAAATGACTTTATTGTTTTTCGAAGTATTCTCCACGAAGCTTAATACACATCTGCATGCGCTCGAACCAATTTTCGAAGCACTTATTCCACTCGTTTGCTGACAGATTCAAAACGGCATTTTTGAATGCGTCAACTGCTTCTTCTGGTGACTGGAACTTTTGACCACGGAGTCTGTTTTTAATTTTCGGGAAAGTAAAGAAATCGTTAGAACTTAGATGGAGACTATATGGTACATTGTCTTGGTGGAGGATGATTCTTCTTCCGGGGTTGATTTTTCGAAGCTCGGTGATGATTTTTGGCAAACAAATGGTGGTATACCAATCCGCAGTAACAGCTCTTTGCTCATTAAGAGGAATTGTTGTAATATGACCTGCTTTTGACACAAATGTCGCGACCATCTTTTTCGAAACACTTCGAGAATTGATGACTTTTGTTGGCTTTTCTTCACCTTGGAACACCCAAACAGCCGACTGTCGTTTATTTTCTGGTTCATAACAGTAAATCGACGATTCATCACCACTAACAATGCGGTACACATTTTTTGGGTTTCCGGATTTGAAACGGTCAAGCGTTTTTTGACACCAAGACACCAATTAACCCTGGCTGCTTTCTGCTCTTCAGTCAACAGGTGGGGTATCCAACGAGAAACTAATTTTCTTACTCCTAATTCTTCATGTGAAATTTTTTGAGGTCTCAATCTCGCGATATGTCACATGTCTATCTTCAATGATGAGTTAGCGCACAACATCGACGTTTTCCTGGGTGACTGTCGTTTTTGGTGCACCCACCCTGGGATCGTCGCTAAGACTCACCCGACCACGTTAGAATTCTCCATACCAACGGGAAATTGTCGACTGATGTGGCGGTTCGTTGCCGAAAACAGACAGTAACTCAGCAAGGCATTCTTGTTGCGATAATTGTCTCTGAAAGTTGTAATAAATTATGTCGCGAAAATGTTCTTTGGTTCAAAAAAAATTTCTAAAGTACTTATCTTTCAAGCTTGATGGGGTATATCCACAAAGAGGTAGTGATTATATGATTCTTGTGAACAGATTCAACTTTCAAACTTTAGAGACCCTAGGGTCAGGCATCTGTTTTATTTTTGCATAAACTACTAAATGGCAAAATTGACTCTGTCGACCTGTTATCATGCTAGAGATCATTACACGTTTTTATGTAAAAGAACTCAAACAAATATATTAATGAAAGCACCTATTAATCAAATGTGTGCAAGCGCGAACAAACTGTCTAACGTCTGTGACATTTTCTGCTGCAGTTTTTCAGAAATAAGAACCCAGTGTCGTGTCAATTTGTAGTTTCGCTAAAGTTAGTTTTAAGTAAATTTAGTACATTAATTGTGTTTTATTACCCATTGCTCTGTAAATGGTTTATACTGTTGGGCAATATACGCTTTATTATTATTATTATTATTAGGCAAATACTTGATTTTAGTATCTACTAAAAAAATTCTATGCAAAACTATGATCTCAAAAATTACTTATTGCGACGTAGTATATCATCCATTTTTATATTCTATTTCCGTAAAACGTTTGCAAAAAATACCAAATCCCTGTTATAGATTGATTTTTAACCTACGGAAGTTTATAAAATCTATGGCACATATCCAGGGTCTCTCAATTTGTTCTGCTGCGTCGTTTTGAACTAGAGTCTCTACAGTTAAGACGTTCTACTGCTGACCTGTCATTCCTTCATAAGCTTTTGCATGACAGAGTGGATGCACCAAAACTTCTCCAGAGGTAAATTTCTGTATACTATGGTTATATACGAGAAGAACTCTAACTTTCTACTGCAGTATCCCCCGTACCAATGTATTATTTTATTCTCCGCTACATTCTATATGCAACAATTATAATTCCATAGCAGACAGTTCTGACATTAATTTTGATTGTTATCAGTAAGATCTGCTGGAATTTCTGGTACTATTATAATAGCTAGTTAGTTTTATGTATACATTATATATACATATTATATGAAGGCACTGACTGGTCTGATCCGAAAAATGTAATTGAAAATGATTTTATCATAATTATTCGGTGTTTTAACAGTAGAAAATTAAGCATTAACTAATCTAAAACACATTTTTTACCATTTGGATCTGATGATAGACATCTGCCAAATTACACAAATTTTTCCTTCAACATCAATCATCAAAAAATGCAAATTAATAGAGTGCCCAACATAAAATACCTTGGAGTGGTCTTAGATCCTCACTTACGATGGGACATCCATGTCAATTATATTTTAAAGAAAGTTATATTTGTATCCTACACAATTAAATACCCTGGGAATATATTGACAGAAAAATATCTTCGAACATTATACCATGCACTGATTGAGCCTCATCTCACATATGGTATATTAGCATGGGGAGCTGCATGTTCCTCACATATCGATAATTTAGATGTTTTTCAAAAAAGTATTCTAAAAATGATATTTAAAAAACCGAAAATTTATCCCACTGACAAATTATACACAGATGTTCGGATGTATGATATAAGACAGCTTTGTTTCTTACACTACCATAAATTTGTAAACACCGACCAAAAAATTAAACATAATCATTATACAAGGTACAAAATTCGTGGCACAGTAGTGCCTCAGCCGCATAAATCTATAATGCAGCGGTCATATCTCTATTTAGTGCCAAAATTTTATGAAATTATACCTAAAGACTTAAAAGATTTACGTTTCGGAAATTGTTTCAAAAGAAATTTAAAAAAGTGGATACATTCTATATCTAGGACTGAAATTCATAAACTCATAAATACGAACATCAAGTAAATAGATAATCTACTGTAGCTAATTTTGTCCTTTCTTGTCATTTGCATTCTACAGTTGCAACTTAAAATTATTGGCCCATGTACAGGCGAAGCCTTCTGTTGGGCCTGTTTTGATTTTATATTTATTTACTCATATTGTTTGTTATCTTTGTACATTGAGTGAATAAATATTATTATTATTATATTATTATTATGTATTATAAGTAAAGATACCATTATATTGTCCTCTAATTTGAATAGTTCTGTTGGGCAATTTGTGTAAATAAATAGATAAATAAAAAGTATGATCACATTAGCTCGTAACAACTGAATTGGTTAAATGATAGTTGTTTAAATTTCACTTATTATGTTTTGTGCACAAGTTCTAACCACAGAATTTCCTCCATTTTAAGATAAAATTTCGTGGGTGAAGAATGATTTTGTGAATATGCTAACCATGCCTCTTCACAAGTCGTCATTCTTCCATAAGTACTTTGCTTCTAATGCCATTATACTATACAATGCACCAGCACCGCCTACGAGACGAACTTCAACGATTTTAACAAACAAGTTAAGAAAATCATTTTCGAAATTTGAAAACAATCATCACTCCGCATCAACATCTAAATTTAAAAAAGCTTTCATTTACACAGCACCTTGTATACTGAATAAATATTTAGAAGTTTTCCAGTCATAACTTTGAAAAGGAATTCAATAAGGTGCTTCTCCAATTACAAGGTTTTGACGCTTCATCTTATTAGATAGAAATTTACTATTGTATTGAATTTACACTGGTAACTCAATTTTAGAACATTGCTATACTTTATGTCAAGTTAGAGATAAGATGACTCTATATAAAATAATTTAAATTATGCCAATCCTCAACCTTTTGGAGTCTTTTTTTAATCTTCATTTTATATAAATGATACAATAAGTATTATTTCCCTAAATAATAAAAAATAATTTTGACATCATATGTATATTGATGTAATATTTATATAATTCCACTATCTAATATTGCAATATAATTTTCACATTCTATTGTATTTATGTATATATTTTCCATGTTAACTTTTTTTTGTTAAGTGACAGAATAGCTATAAGATAAACGTCGCCCTAAATAAAGACGATTTATTACTTTTTTCGAAAAGTTAACGCACCATAAATGAAACGGTTGTGCAAGTTAGTGTATTTTCAGAATTTCTTGGAAGATGTGGGAAATCATATGTGTCCAGACTTAGCAAATCGCATCTGCAATTCTTTGATTACGTAATTTTGTTGCATAATGCATATGCTGTTTAACACCAGTTATGTGCAGATTTTATAATCTTGAGCAAACACGAGTGGTGTGGATCTTGAAAATTCAATATAAACATTCCGACGAACACCTGAAGCTTACTTACTGTAAGCAAATATTACATTATATGCATAATCTAAACATCCAAGCATATAATTTTATACAATGTGTATAGCGGCTTATAGATCCTGATACGAAGAGACAACGCTTCTACCTTTTTAGATCAGATATTCGCAAAATTAGAACAATATCTACGCTCGCGAATAGTTTTTGTTCATAGTTGCATCAAATTCGGCATGAGGAAATATTGCGAATGGGAATGCTGCGACCTCCACCACCCACAAAGCTCTCACGTACGACATACAAAATGGCGTCAAGTAGGTTGACTCACGACACCAGCTGTGGTGAGTTCATAAATGATCTTCAGCGCAAGTTTACCCTCCTGAGAAAAAAGTTAACTACAAACATTCAAAACAGTAAGACGAGCCCATACAATTAGTCCTTAGTCTCATCCCATTTGGCAACGCTGCAATCCAGAAATCTTTCCTACCGACAAGCTATAGAGGGGAAAAGTGGACAGACCGACCGACGGAAATACATACTATATAACATAATTCTTCGTGACGTACATGTGGCCATATCGTAGAATTGCCCATTTCATGAAATGGTCGCATTTCATTGGAATATACATCTATATGCTGATGATGTAGAAATTTATAAAGCTTGCAAGCCAAATGAAGTTTATTCATTGATTTCCGGATTAAATATAAATCTAGGAATGATTGCAAACTATTCCAAAAATTGTTGTTTGAAACTGAATCCCTCAAAAACTAAAGCCTGCTGCATTGGTTCTAGGTTAAATATTTCAAAATTGATGAGTAAAGACATTGTTTTTGGTTTTTTTATACTCCAACTACCACGGAAGCCTAAGGCCTAAACACTCATTGGGTACCGTGGGGCTATAGGGGGGTACAAGGAAAAGGGGGAACGCCACATGGACTCTGGCAAGGCAACACGTGTGCATGCAACATGCACACATTCTGGCTCCGCCTAGGAGATCCGCCGGGTGGTACCTCCGCGTTCGACAATCAGAGACCGTCTACCACCTTCGGATAATCACGACATCCATAGCCAAGAGAAAAATTTCTCCTGGGAAGGGATTCGAACCCGCACAGCGCCCTGCGACTGATCAGGAGACCGAAGAGTCTACTACTGCGGCCACCGCTGCTGCCTTGGGTGATAAAGATGTTGAAATTGTAGATGAGACTAAGAATTTAGGAATTTTATTGGACACAAATGTAAGTTTTGAGAAATACATCATTAATTAACTTCGAGTATGCTATTATAAATATAAGTCACTTTAGAGAGATACAAACATAGCCAGCGATATAAAATCAAGACTTACCAATGCACTAATCCTCACTCATCTAGACTATGGCGCTACAGTATATTTTAATTTTCTTACGGAAGACATGAAGCACAAAATTCAAGTATTACAAAACTACTGCATGAGATTATGTTTCGAATACTCGTATATACGTAAACAAGAACATACTGGATATTATGTAAGAGAAAATGTTTTAAAATTCAAGTATCGTGTATTGCTTCAGTATGGAACTCTACTGTATAAAGTTTTAAAATATAAAGTACCCAGCTATCTGTTTATTTCTTTGGAGAAGAGATGTTCACTCCGCCAAGTTTCCTTACGCAACAATGCCTATTTCAATGTCCCAGCTCATACAACGTCCGAATTCAAAAAAATTTTTAATTACACGGCACCATATCTATTGAACGATTATTTAGAGCTTTTTGAAGCACCTACAATCTAAAACTTCAGAAATGAGATGGAAAAAGTGCTACTACAGCTACAAAGATTTGAATCCACAAATTAAATTCATGTTAAATAAATGCTCATGAAACTAACTCTTTAGGGGGAGGTGAAAAAAGGTCGTGCCAATCTTCTTTCCTTTTGGAATGTTGTCGTTTTTATATTTGCTATGTACATATATATGTACAATCCAATAAAAATTATTATTATGTCACTAAAAGTACTCTGCGATACTAAAAAGTATCTATTTTTCATGTCGATTTCAAATAACAGCAGCACATTTAAGCTTCGCAGTATATAATATGACGTATACGACTACTTCTATGAATGCACATATTGTCACAAGATAACTATTTACTTCAAAAAGAAAAACTATATTATGAATGGAACAAAGTGCATCGTTTCATTCACCGACCTCATGCATCACGATTCGTGAATGTTTTATTAGCATCCTGGCTTATATTTAGCAGCATTGAAATAGCTAGACTTTAAAAATACTGCATTCAGCATGCAGTTTTAAAGGTCACAGCTAAATTGTCTTTTTCCTAACGTTACTTCATCGCTCAGATTATGAAATAGATGAAATGGCCGAACGTGTCCCGTGCTCAGAACCTAACGGAGATATAACAGGAGATCAAACAAAAAGCGAAAAATGGTGACAAGTAGGTTTTCTCCCAACGTTTCATAATGTATGTAAAGGGTTGTCCAATAGGGACGCAGGAAAGTAAACGTCAATTTGACATAGACGCCATCTTTGTTTTCTGTCACCGACATGTCATTTTGTTAGTTGAATGTTTACCATTGATCGCTATGGAGTCGTATTCGATTGAAGACCGCATTAAAGTTATTCAAGAGCACTACAAAAATGGTGCAAAAATAAATAACACGTTTCGCGCGCTTCGTGAACATTTCGGTCGCAACAACCGCCCAAACGAAACAACCATCGGTCGTCTGGTGCGTAAATTCGAGGCAACAGGTTCTGTGGCAAATCTGCCAGGCTCTGGCCGGCCAAGGAGCGTTCGCACACCGGAAAATATTGCTGATGTGAAGGAGAGTGTGAGAGACGATCCGAAACAAACAACAACGCGTCGATCCCAAGAATTGGGCATTTCGAGAACCAGTTTGCTCCGAATTCTCCACAAGGGTTTGTATGTACACGCCTACAAGATCCAATTGACGCAAGAGCTGCGTCGGGCCGACCATTTTTCGCGCCGAACGTTCTCAGATTGGCTCCTTGAACACCGTCAAATTGATGCTAATTTTTCATCAAAAATCATGTTCAGCGACGAAGCGCATTTCACTTTGAATGGAACGGTAAACAAGCAAAACTGCCGCATCTGGGCGAACGAAAATCCCCGTGAGTATCAAGAGCAGCCGATGCATCCTCAAAAAGTGACTGTGTGGTGTGCATTGTGGTCAAAAGGCATCATCGGACCTTACTTTTTCGAAAATGCGGCCGGGGACGCCGTTACCGTCAATTCTGAGCGATATCACATGATGATAGAGGACTATTTTTTGCCGCAACTTGAAGGAATGGATATGGACGATGTTTATTTCCAACAAGACGGTGCAACATGCCACACAACCAACGTCAATATCCAGCGATTGCAGTCCTGCTTCGGTGATCGCGTGATTTCGCGCAGAGGAAATGTGCCATGGCCACCAAGATCGTGCGATTTGACTCCCTTGGACTTCTTTTTATGGGGATATTTGAAAAGCAAAGTCTACGTCATCAAACCAGCCACCCTCCAAGAACTCAAAAAGAACCTCATTGCCGAGATAAATGCCATAGAACCGACCATGTTGCAAAATGCCATTGAAAATTTCGACCATCGCGTGGACGTCTGTAAATCCAGTCTTGGTGAACATTTGAGCGATATTATTTTTCATACATAAATGGTATAAATGAACCTTCAAAATAAAGTACCCAACTTGATTTGAATATCAATCTTTCTTGTTTTAATATGCGTTTACTTTCCTGCGTCCGTTTTGGACAACCCCATGCCTACTGGCACTTTGTAATCGCGAAAATTTTTGAAAATGTGATATTATATTTTTTGGATGTTATATGACATCGAATACGAAAAACCATGTCACTCATTTTCATCGGTCTGTCTGTCTGTCGGCTAAACTTCTAAACGCCTATAACGTGAGAAGTACCGCTCATATTTCGATCAAATTTTCATACCAAGGACGCAAAAGCTCTGCACCAGTGTTAACGGGGCTAGAGGTAAAAAAAAACAGAAAATAAAAGCCGCATAAAAATCGTTTTTGATGTTTCAGTGGCCCCCGATTATTTTCAGAATTTTTTTTTGAAAATCGGATGTCGGAGGTTGTAGGGGATGGGGGTATAAATCATTTTTGACAGCCTTATAAAACCATTAATTGGATTAATTTTTCGTATCATATAGATTTCCCAGTACATTTGCCCTTAATAGATGTATTTATAGCCGCTACGCAACTTTCATACGCTGAGCGCTGTGTGCGTGTCTTAGTTTGCGTTTTTTCCAACATGATGAAGCGATGAGTCGTTCTACAAATTTTGAATTATGAATTTTTTCAAAGTTTTCGAGTTCGATGCTTGTAAATGTTCCAAACCGCTCGCCATTCAAGCACTGTTTTCCCTGTTGAAATCGGCCGTGCCATTTAAAAATGACTCATCAACATAAACTTGCCGAGGCATATCTAGTGGTTCCGTATGTGATTTTCCGCTCTTTGCTCAAACTTTTCATTCATGATCAAAGGTAAAGAAAATCACAAAAACACTAAATAAAATTGTTGTAGAACAAAAGCGATGAGAAAACTTCGCACGCTGCTTTGTGATGTTCTTATCTGATTTATGTAGCAGACACATCCTCGAGCTTCCAATGTTGGGAAACCTTTGATATACCATTTGTAATGTTCTAGCATCACATTTCCAACGATTTGACATCCGATTGTGAACTCCTTCAACACGCATGCTTTGTCAAAAGACCACCACGGTTTCAAATTTGATTCTGCTAGAACACATTTTTCTGACAAAACACGTTTGAGTTGACAGTGAGTACGACATTTAGATGAAATGATATGTTTCTTTTCTCATTGTTGGGTCATTAAATTCCAGGTATAACGCTAAAAAACGACTTATTATGTAGAATAAGCAACAATCGTTATATCAAATAATTCAGCTACATCACGAAATAATGCTGTTTCACGTCCTGCGAACCACAAAAAGATCATAAGCATAATGTTTCCTATTGCCTTCACTCCTCTTTTCGAAGAACATGCTGTGTTCGTATTTAGTTGAGATATCTTCAACTACTTTGCCAGTCGCTCTGGAATGTTCCATGAATTCACTTCCATTGTAAAGAGGTACCGTTACATTTATCGAATGCTTTTTTTTATTATGAACCAGTATGAGCAGAATTTTTTGATCATCAATCAATCAATCAATCGGATTCTGAACTTTTGAGCTATAAGAATCTAACATGTCTGTAAGCAATACAAACAACTGATACAAAGTATTCAAAGTTGCAACGAAACTATGGGATACGCAAATACCACCACACAGTTCAAAAACCATAATCCCAAACCATAAGGCACCCATCACAAAACAAGATCTTGTGCGATCTGCGCGAGTCAGAAACCCCGAGTTCCACCAAATTTCTGTGTACTGTTTCGACCTTCCGAAACCAGTTTTAAAATCAAAAATAAGTTTTCTGAAACAGCGGACCGATGATCCCCACCAAGGTTTTGCCCTTGCTTGAACATGTTTTCTCCTCTGCGCATGCTCAGTGGGTTTCAAACCATTGGAAATGTGCTAAAACATAACTATTCTATCTGTGGATGAAAATCTATTCCGTGGATTCCGCATTCAAAGCCAAAATCATGCTAAGACCTACAGATATTCCCGATACATACACTAAATTCCTAGGAATAAAAAATGTGATGAAAAAACCTACAATAGAAGCTTTTGCATATCTGCCATCCATTTGTAATTTTGTAATATTTAACACTAGAATCACTAAGCGACTGTACCAAAGATCCAAGAACATCTACTATAATCCAATCCTGACGCGTAAAACTAACAACTAGCTGTAATGTAACCAATGAAAGGTCAGTGCACCTTGATGGCAGTAGCCGATTTTTCTTGGAAAATTCTTTGGGTGTTATCGCATCAGTCTGTTATAAAACATTAATTTATGGTACTCAAGGCATGATGAAGTAAATAAAATGATATATCTGATCAATTTGTTTTTGTTAAAAGTCTGTTGACTCATAAGGTCATAAGGTATTATTAATATCGTGTCTTTGTGATGTGAAATACGTGGAGTGAACACAAGATAAAAAGTATCTGCATTATGCATTTTTACAGCAAAGCTTTCTGTAGGCCTTATAAGTGATGAATTAATACATAAATACTGCAATATACACAAAGTTCAAAACTAGTCACTCACTGCTTTGAAGTTTCCTCAGATTATTCGATCTATATGAAAGTACTGTTTCAATTAGGGGTAAGTCTAAAGATTTTGCAAGATTTCAGAAACTTTATTTACTATTGCATTTTTCTTGAAGATGAATGGTCCATATCCATATAGTCAACTACGAGTATTAAGGTACGTTGAAAATATGTTCTACTTGTCAGGCACATTATTTTCTATGGAGTAAGGGATTCAATGTGAGGCGCAATTTATTCAATCAAGCACCAATTACGTCAATTTGTTTTGACTGATTATGGACCATCACCAAACGTTATGACTTCAACAATTTATAATGCAAAATTTTTAAAATTCACTTTTTATTTCAGGATTTATTAGGAAAGCAATACAACAACGGAATATCACATCAAAATCGTCGAACATCGTTTTTATATTAGAAATTAAATTACATTCAATCAGGTGTACCACAAGGCTCGGTGCTGGGACCAGTGATGTTTTTACTTTACACTGCAGATTCACATGATAACTTCATGGCTAAGCATACTAAATTTTTTGCTGATGATACGTAGTTGAAGTGTGTCTTTAATACCGACAATGTCAAAGAGTCCATGTCGTTAGTAACTGCAGATCTTGATAGTGCTAATAGGTACAG